TCAGCCAAAAGTGGGCAGTGCTGAGCTTGCAGCCCTGGCTCAAGGGGAGCACAGATTGTCCACAGAGTCCTGTAAGTTGCAGGTGAGTGACAGAGAGGAAGGCAGAGGATGCTGTGGAAACAGACGGCCGAGCAAGGGATCAGGTCTTGTCTGGGCCCCCGTGTTGGGAGGCTGCTCTGAGGAAGCGATGCTTCACTGATGAACGGTTGCAGTTAACCCCAGAAAGGGGCTAAGAGTGGAGTAGCAGACAGGCAAAATGGAGGTAAGGGATGCCCCTGGTGTGGTGCGCATGTCCAGACTGGGTATAAGTGCATGGGGCTAACTGCCCACTAGAACGAGGGAGGGACACTGGGAGGGTGTGGTCTTTTTAGGTAGAGAACAGGCTTCAGAGTCACCAGGAAAAGTAGCAGCAGAGGCTGGGAATGCAGAGGAGACTTGCAGGCCATGGAATGTGTTTCTGCTTAGCCTGAGCACACTGAGGCAGTATGGATGGTGCATGAAGGAGAATGAACGATTGGGCCCAGATTCCAGAAGCCTGCAGTTATGTGGATACAGTTGCGGGGATGGGGAGGGAGCACAGGAGACCAGGGACATGAGGAGGAGGGGAGATGGGGTTGCAGACAGACAGGGGAGAGATGGAAATGGTGACAGGATATGGGATGGGTATGAAGAACAGACACGCTCACAGTGCAGGGAGTTGGAGGCCAAGAGGTTGAGGATCAAGAGGTCCTTGTGTTGGATGGGTCACCCTGTAGATATTGAAGTTTCCCAGGATGGGTTTTGGGCTGCCAGGGAATGTCAGCCAGGTGCCCAAGCCTGCAGTGAACGAGAAGTAGAGGGTTACCATGAGGAGAAGGGTGGAGGATGGCGGAATGGAATGACCAGGCTCTTCTGTGGGTTCCTGACAGCACGTGGGGCCCTTACATTAGGTCAACATGGGCTCTGGCAGAGGGGCTGGGACTGGCCCACTGGCACAGATGTAGCCATAACTGTGAGTCTGCTGTTCATCACAGAAAGCTGCACATTTGGTGGGAGGCCGGTGGGTGAGACAAGGGCATGCTAGGGCTTAGGGCATGTTCTCCCCCACCTCTGCCCCCCTCCATTTCTCCAGGTTTTAAAGAAATACCTCCAGTCTTCAGAAAGAGGAAACAGCTCTCACCGTTGACAATGTGATAGAAGGGGCCGCATAATGGGTATGAAATGCCAAGGTGAAAGATCCCAGGAGAAACAAAAGTCGCTATTGTGTTTTTTTCCATGACTCTATTAACATGTTTTGAAACTGAGTTTTAAAGTGGGCTAGTAAACAAATGTAATCTCTGAGCGCCATCTCCTGGAACAATTTACCACATCACACCAGCCTCTCATCATCCTGGCCTCAACAAGGCACTGTGCACCAATGCCTGAAGCTACAGGACAGGAAGGCCAATGGGGGGCAGGCAATGCCTATTAGCCCCCTGTGCCTTCGTCCCCAGATTAGGCTGCTGCTGGTTTAAGTCCAGCCTGTTTGCGTCAGCCCCCAGCTCTGCCCTACCCAGGGGGGCCACTTCTAGCAGCGCCCCCTTCCTTTTATGGGCCTCCTGCCTGCATGATGACCACTTCCTGTGACTGTCTATCTGCTCTTTAAGCCAGAGTTTGCTTCATCTTGATCTTCTAGCTTCTAGAACTGCAATAAAATGGATTTCAGTTGTTTAAGCCACTCAGTCTGTGGTACTTTATTTTGGCAGCCCAAATGAATGAACAATGGCTTTGCTGTTAACTGAATCCAGACTGCACCCCGACCCCTGTTTCTTGAACATAAGGGACTCCCTTCCCTACCTCCACCGCCCAAGTCAAGACCTGTTCTCGAATCACGGATCAAACTCATGTCCCCTGCCTTGGGAAACCACTGGACTGCCAGGCAAGACCTTTAGGAGCTTCAGTCTTTTTTTTCTTTTTTTCCCTTTAGATTTTTTTTTTTTTTTTAATTGTGAACCATCTTTTAAAGTCCTTATTGAACTTGTTGCAATATTTTTTCTGTTTTCTGTTTTGGTTCTTTGGCTGGAAGACATATGGGATCTTAGTTCTCCAACCAGGGATGTAACCTGAACCCCTGCATTTGGCAGGCGAAGTTTGAATCATGGGACCTCCAAGGATGTCCCAGGAGCTTCAGTCTTGACATAGGATGGAAAAGAGTTTGACTTTGGCCACTTTTTTGCCCACTGAAAGCAACCAGGCAAATTGAAAAGCCTGGCTAGCAATGTGAAAAGGAAAGCACACACAGAGAGAGCATGACGCTGAGTGGACATGTGCGCAGATGGTCCAGCACAGCACAGCAGGGAGCCCCTGGCAGCGCTAGAGAAACAGGGTTCCTTTCCAATATCCTGACCTCCTCTGTCTGCCTCCTGGGCGCCCTAGGAGTTCTGCTGCATAGAAGAGAGGATGGGGGGCTGCTGTTAAAGCCACAGCTTTGCCAGGTATGCATGCTCCCTCACGGGTGCTTGGCGCTTCTACTCGTGTGTTTGTGGAGGAGGTCTGTGGCTGGCCCTGGTCGGGTCTGGCGAGGCTCCCAGCTTCCAGAAGCTCAAGGCTTTGGTCCAAGCTTGGAGGTCCATCTGAGTCTACAGGGGTTGCTTTACACGAAACCAAGAGGCATTCAGAAAATGTGCATATTTGGACTTTACTGGTGGTCCAGTGATTGAGACTCTGTGCTTCTAATGCAGGGGGTATGAGTTTAATCCTTGGTAAGGGAACTAAGATACCACATGCCATGTGGTGTGGCCAAAATAAATAAAGTAAAATGAAACCTAATTAAAAAAAGAGAAAGTGTGCATTTTTGTTGTCCTAGTCTAAAATAAGGGAGAAGCATTGCCCAGTATATTTCTCTGGGTACAGGTCTCAGCTTGAGACAGCTCAGATATGAGGCCACTTTTCTAAAAACATCCTGCTGGATCCCAGGACTCAGGCAGGAGGGGCACCTGGGGCAAGAGGCTGCCCACCTACAAGTCAGATATCAGCTAAGGGTTGCACCTCCTTTCTTGTTCACTAGAGTGAGGCACCTCTGGTTGGTGCGAAACCAAAAAGATCCGATGAGATAGAATGAGGGAAGGTAGGGGGACAGAGAGGGCCCGGGGGGAGATGCCAAGGAAACTCCCGTTTCCTGCTACCTCTTATTACCATGCACAGAAGGAAGTGTGGCCAGGGTTGGTGGGTGTGGGTGGTAAGGTGTGGGCTCATGCTCCTCCCAGATATCCCCTGATCTAATGATCCAAAGTTATGAGCACCTCCTTCTTCAGTTCAGGGGTGAGGCAGGAGTGATGGGCTAAAAATGAGAAGGCTCTCAACATCCAGTAATAAACAGACATGCTGATTTCAGCCAGGGTCACACTGGGCTTTTTATTAAATTACAGATACATTTCTCTGTGTACAGTCACAGAGTCTCAGAGATGGGCATGTATTATATTACAGTTGTACACAAACACATAGATATAATATAGGAACACAGAGCCAGTTTCAGAAATGTGTCTGTGACACTCTTAGGCCAGGACAATGCTCTCACCACTTACAAACAATCCAAAATATTCCACTTCTAAGGAAGAGATAAAATCTCTCTATAGGATTTCGCATTATTTAAATCTCCTTTCTGCCGAATTAAAAAAATTTCACGCACTTGGTATCATGAGTACATTTTCTTTTTTTGAACACAGGGAAAATTATGGTGATTGATTACTATCCCTCTACTTCAATAAATACAGATTAAAAACACAAACCTGACATATTTTTACCTATAGTTGTCATATAGATATTCAACAGAAAGGCACAAATATAACAGTTAAGGAGATGGGAGTGAGGGTGGAAAGTATTTAACGCCCTATCAATACGGATTAGAGACAATTGATTGTGGTACCTCTAGGGTACTCCTCCAGAAGTGCTCCCATACTCCTGTGGGCTGTGTGCATGGCCCTGGAACATCATGCAGACACCCTGGGAGATGGGGAGGATGCTGAATGCTAAAACATCTCTGTTGGGAGCACAGCTACTTCTATGCTTGGCAGATGGTGAATAGGGGAGTTGAACTTCTCTAGGGAAATGGAGAGACTTTACACTCAAACACATGTCCTCTAAAATTTCCCTGGGCCTAGGGCTTTCCTTGTAGCTCAGCTGATAAAGAATATGCCTGCGCTGCGGGAGACCTGGGTTTGATCTCTGAGTTGGGAAGATTCCCCTGGAGAAGGGAAAGGATACCCACTCCAGTATTCTGGCATGGAGAATTCCATGGACTGTATAGGCCAGGGGGTCACGAAGAGTTGGATACGACTGAGTGACTTTCATTATTCAGGGACCTCTGACTTAGGGACAGGGGATGAGATGGCTGGATGGCATCACCGGCTCGATGGACATGAGTTTGAGAATGCTCTGGGAGCATTGGTGATGGACAGGGAAGCCTGGCATGCTGCAGTCTATGAGGTCACAAAGAGTCGGACATGGCTGAGAGACTGAACTGAACTGAAATGAGAGACCTGTTGGTTCTAGGGAAGAAAAGGTGCATTTCAAGCTGGTGAACTGTAGAGGGCCTCATCTCTTTCTGAGACATGATTGGAACATAAGCAACCACAAAATGGAAACCAGGAGCATAGAGTGAAGAAGATGAGAAATTCAAGTACTTCTCTCTGTGCCAGATTAGGAAATGACACACAGGATGGTATCCATATTTTACAGATCTTTTGGGCTTTGTTCAAAGAGCAGAATTTGACTAAAACCCCATCCCAGACCTTGGTGATAGATGATCAGGTATTGAGGACTGGGACTCATCATGTCTACTTCCACAGGACATCAGGGTGCTATGTCCTTGCAGGACAAGTATAGATTCTTCTCATGCAGTGGAGCAGTGCTCACCAGGTAAACTCTGATTAGCAACAGATTCCAACACATTTTGACCATAAACCAAGACTCAATATATATGTCTAATTCAGCAAGCAAAGGGCTCTTAATAATCTTGGGGTTTTGGTGCTTTAGAGCTTGGGCTATGGGGGCTGGAGTGACAAAGTGGCTCTGTTGACTGTCCGGGTAGGGGTAGAGATGAACGCCTGCATTCTGGAGGGAGGCCTGGAGCACATGGTTGGGGAGTGTTGGTACCGTGAGCAGCAGTTGTTGAGGGTAAAGCACTCCCGGCTGGGTTGAGCGCAGACCTTAGGGCTGCAATGCAGTGGCGCACAGTGGGGCCTCATTAGGGCAAAATTGACACATTTTCCCTGCAGGAGACAAAAGAGAGAGATCACTATCAGCTACTGGAATTGGGAGCAGAAGGCTGCAGTCTCCCTGGGGCCTGCCAAGCTCCTTCTCTGGCTCAAGTCCACCCTTCTCCTGCTGCCCAGAGTCCCCTGATTCCCCTGCTGGGCCTGTCTGGGCCTGTCGGTCCCTATAGGTGCTCCATATGCTGTACAGACTTCAGGCTTCGGTGGGCCTGCCATTCAATGTAAAATGTTTCCTTGAGCACCTGTGAGGCCCAGCCTTGGGACCCACTGTGCCCAAACCCTGTCTTGAGCCACACATGTCTCCAGCTACCCACCCTTTCTCACGTTCCTCTGCACCTGATGCCAGTCTAAGCCCTCAGCTCCTTTCCTAGGCTGACTCAGCACCTCCTTTCCCCGGTCACATGGTTCGACTGCCCTTCTGCCACTTCCCATCAATCCAGGCCCTCAAGGAATCATCCTCCTCAAGTTTGCTCTTCCTCAACTCACACCTTCAGTTGTGCTTCCTCACTGCCTGGAAAACCAGCCCCAGTACTCAGCCTGGCGCATCAGGCCATCAAATCCACAGGCTCCTGACCTATTACCAGCACTGCCAGAATGCACATCAAGTGTTCCTGTGTTCCAGCTTCACTCTCCCTGCTCTTCTGCTTCAGGGTTGTCCTCCCTGACCTCTCCATTGCCCATATCCAGACTACTATCCTCTGAGACTGCCTCTATTTTCCCCTTAAGCCAGTCTGGGAGTGCCAGAGGCACTGTGGCTGGTTCCCTCTTCTCTCAAGCCCCCCATCGACAGCAGGATTCTGACCCTTCCTGCCCCAGGATTGCATCCCAAATTCCTGAACTAAACTGTTCATTTACTCAGGTGAATTTTACAATCACTTTAGAATGATTTAGGTCAAATTCTCTAAAGATATTCATTACAATTTTCACTAAAGCAGCATTAAGCCCGTACATTCTTTGGGGAAAAGCTGGTATTGTGGTCTAGGTTTTTGCATTTTCAAGTCTTCTTTCATAGTGAAAGAGTAAAGTTCTGTGGTTTCTGTACATTATAGGTCAGTACACATTGTCACACACATGTGTGGGTATGTTCTTTTATTGCTACTCTAAAGAGATTGGTATCTTCTGTCTTTATTTCTAAGCTCCCATATGTCTGTCTATTTACTCTAGAACATGAACAGATCATTCCAGACCTAGTATCTTCTGCCCGTGGGATCCCTTTGACTTTCTCAAAGCAAGATGGCAGGGCACCTGAGCTGAGGCCTGACTCCTCTCCCCAGCCACAGCCTGTCACTGGGAGCTGCAGAAGGCAGGGATGTGCATATGGGTTGAGGGAGAGGAGTGAGGGGCTCCAGATAGTGGTGGAGGCCCGCAGGTCATGGCAGAGCACCCGAGTCTGTTGTGTGATCATAAGGGGGTGAGGGAGGTGACTGGGGGCTGAGGGGAATCTCCTTCTCCTCTGGTTTTCTATTAATGAAAAGGTCTAAGCTGGTGACCAATTACTTCCTATATTAACTCAGCTGCTCCACAGTGAAGGAATGTTTCTTAAAACAATTGGCAAATGGTTGATTGAAGCTTAATCTCCAGTGCTTTGGAGCTTTGGCTCCATTTCTGATTTCCTGCTTATTACAGAGGGAAGTGTGTGTGTGTGCATGTGTGTGTGTGAGAGAGAGTCTATGGGTCTATGTGTGTGTGCATGCACGTGTGCATGTGAGTGTGTGAGAGAGTCTGCGTGTGTGTGAGAGAGAGGAGTTGGGAGGGGATGAGGGTTGTTGAGCATGGGGAAGCAGGCTGCCATCACTGTCCCAAAGTTATGATCTGAGACTTTCATAAAGGTCACGGTCTTGAACAACTTTCAAGTTGGGACTCACTGGAGGGCAGAAGTGCTGCCCCAGCTTTATCACACATGTCTTGATGTTCCCTCTGTGAATGGCATCAAAGCATAGGAACTCAGGAAATCCTTGGCCATGAATGCATCCTACAGCCTCTCTGTAGCTCTAATGATTCCCAGGACAACTGTTTCCCAGTATATATTTATGTGTTCATATTTAGAGGAGGTCTGCAAGCAATACAGTGTGAAAATAAGAAATTAATATTCATAATTGTTTGCACATCTAACACACTGCACAGAGAAAGGAAGTCCTTTCTAGTTCTTTCCCAGTCACTGTGACAGCAGGTTACAGGAGCGGTGGCCTGGATTTGAAAGTGAGTCTCTCTAGGGTCGTTAACAGCCCTGCTGCACCCTTAACTCTGTCATGGTGAACCCATCACAAAGCATCAGAACCTTTGTTTCTTCAGCTTCAAAGTTATGAGCAGTGATCACCTGGCAGGACAGAGAGGCAGCCCAGCACGGGTGAGGTCTGGGCCTTGGGTTGTGGATATTGGCTTCATGGCTGTGCAGCTGGGCAGGTATACAGGGGGTCAGCTTCCTCCCTGGTAGAGTGTTGGGAGGATGAAAAGACTGAGCTTGTATGAAGAACTCGCTGTCTGGCAATCCCTACTCTGCATAAATGGCTGCTGTTGGAATGAATGAGATCCTTGTGTAAAAGGTCTTGAGTGAGTCATACTGTCTGTAGACAGTTATGTCACTGCCAGCATCACATTCAGTGAGAAGTGGAAGTTTTCCTATTTTTACCCGATTTTCCTGATGTATCTAGCAGAACTGATTTCCATGAACTGAATGGGCTGACCTGGGAAAGTCAGAGAACAAAGAGAATCAGGACCTCCAATGTGGGTTTGACTCAAGACTAAGAAAGTAAACTGAGCCTTGCTGCACCATCCCATTATGTGTGTAGGAGAGATGGTCTGGGAGGGACCATTATCAGATTTCCTCTGGGGATTAGAAGGCAGTGGGGCAGAGAAACATGGTCCTTTCACAGAAGGTTACAATAAACAAGAATGGTTGCTTCTGTTACAAAAACGCTGTTTTTTTTTTTTTTGTAAACTGAACCTTGGAGAATTTTCTGTATTGTATTTTGCTGAAGTGCAGACACATCTAATTCACTGAAACACGCAGCTGGCTGAGGTTTTAGAAGGCAGTAGCTCCTACAAGGTCATCCCTAGACTCCACTGTTTTCTTTCTGAGCGTGTTCACATACATAGGCCTGACTGCATTTCCAGTCCAGGCTGAGGAGTTTGGAAACATCCTCCCCATGGCTCAGGAACTGGATGCAGGAGAGAGGCTGTACGTTTGTGCTGCTGGGAACTGACTCCTCTGAGGCTTGTTTTTCAGCACAGCCTGGTGAAGAGGGTCTGGGCAAGGTTCTGTCTGAGCAGAGCTCCTGGGAGGGGGTACAGGGCACATGGAGTCGTCAGCAGTGAGAGGACGAAAGCCTTATGTCTGTCCTTGGAAGGACATCTGGTTGATGCTCCTAATCCCCCCGCCTGGGGTGAGCTAGGGCAGGCTGAGATCCCCCAAGTGCAGTCTTGACGTGTTTCCACTGAGGCATGCCCTTTCCTCTAGCTCCAGAACTCCTCTCACTGAGGGGACCTATGGTTCAGGTAGGAAAAAGCATAATATGTCCCTGAATAGGATGTCTTCTGTTATACATTCAGGGTGGAGATTGGGAGCTGACACTGGCCTGCAGAGATGGTAGGCTCCCAGTTGACACCCCATCACTTAGACTATGATTCACTTTAAGGCCTGGGACCAGGACACAGAAGGCTTCAAGAAAGGAATCAGGACTCCTGCACCCACTGGAATACTGGAAGTATCCACAGGTGTCCCAGGGCTCCAGGACTATAGTTGGGAGGGATAAGGTCAGATGGGAGGGGGCAGAGGAATGGGAGGGCTCACACCCACCAGGCACAGTCACCGGCTCCCAGCCCCTCTCAGGATGAGCAGGGTTGATTTCAGCTCTGGCTGCTGCCACTTACTCTCTGGGTGACCTTGGCAACTTCCCTGATCTCTCAGGCCTCTGTTTTGCCTCCAGGAAGCACACAGATTACTGTGAATCCAGAGAGATTAATGGACAGATTTGAGAGCTGGTGTTGCAGGGGCCTAACAGAGCCCTGGGTGGATATGAGCTCCCTAATCCATCAGTCTGCCATCCCAACATGAGCTTCAGAGAGCAGCCCTGGGACTCGGACCATTTCAGAGACCTGCTCTCTGGGCAGGAAGGCTACTTCTGGTGTTTTCCCATCTGGTGTCTTGTCTCTGTCTTGCTCTGTCCTTCTTACTCCTGACTCTGCATGTCTGGGTGGTTGTCTCTACTGTTCAAGGCATAATGCTGGCCTGGGGCTCTTGTGACCATAATGAGGCTGTGGTTCTGGGGAGAGGTTCCAGGAGAATCAGGTAGAGAATGGGGCTTCCAGGCAAGCAAACCTGGGACCGAGAGCAATAGGAACTCTGGCACCTCTGTCCCCAGATGATGTCTTTGCTGGGTGTGAGCAATGACTCAGATGTGTCAATAGCAGTGTCCAGAGGCTTTCTGGCCTGTCAACAGTTTCCAAACACCCAAGTGCTCAGTCACCAAGAGCCAGTGTCTGATTCAGGGAAGGTGACCAATGCAGCCCTCATTAAAAGACTTGGGGTCTGCAATGTCCTCCAGGCCCCTGGTCTGGTCTGTAGAAATGCTCTGAGTTTGGAATGGCCAGGCAAATGATTTCCAGGCAAACCATTGCCCTCCTCGGGCCCCAGGGAGCCGAGTAGGGCAACCTCTGGCGGTTTATGGGTAAGCACCGTGAGATCATGATGCTGACCCCAAATAGGGTACAGACCAGTGAGAAGGTAGAGCCAGGCTCAGAATTCAAGTCTAACTATGCTCCTCCCAGCCTTTGTGACCTTAGTCAAGTCACTCAGCCTCCCTGTGGGATAATAGTAGTATCTACCTGTACAGTTATTGGGAGGATTAAAGCAATGAAAGCATGTAAAGTTTTTAGTTGAGCAACTGACCCACAGAAAGAGCACAGTGGAATTATCTAGCATCATTATTACATTCCAAGGATGACAACTGGAAAAATTTGGCTTCTCCCCATTGTCACAGGCAATGACACAGGAGGTCGTCTTTGCTACCTGCTAAATGCAGTGAGTGTTGGCCAGACAACATTGGGGAGGGGGTGTCACCATGTCCCACATTGCTGGCACTTGAGTGACCAGTTCAGGAAAATCTCATGGGTGGGGTGCAGCTAGCAGTTCCGCAGGGGTGGGTGAGTTGTGGAAAGGGACGATTGATGGGAGGCAAATAGGCCTCTCCAGACCTTTTTTCCTAGGACTGGAAGTTGTGGGCATAGTTCTGAGAAGAAAGGTTCTGACATCCTTGAGATGAGGACACAGAGGAAATGCATGTGTGCCATGAGGAGAATCGTCTGGAGGTTCATGAGTGCCAGGTCTCCACTTCTTGGGTGTTCCTCCTGGCAGATACCCAGACAGGACAGGGTTCTCTGACCCACAGCCTCAGGGGGCAATGATGAAGGGCAAAGCCAAGACCCCAGCCCATGGGGAGCATCCCTGTGCCCTGCTTACCATGTTTCTGGTTGGGCACCACATTACTGACATCTGATTGCAGCGCTGAACAAATTCACACAAGCTATCCAGTTTTCCCTGAAAAGCAGATGTGTTTGTGAGAAAGCTGCAGGCCTAGATGCTGCCTCTAGAGGGATAGCGTCTCCTCTTACTTGAAATTGCCTGCCAGGGCTCCATCCCCACCGATTCCCTGAAACAACACTGAACTGCCCTTTGAGGGCATCCAAAAATATCCAGAACTTGGGCCCATCCTAAGACAGAAACTCTGGTAGTGATGGGAACATGAGCCCTTGTACTTTTTGGCTTCCCCTGAGCAACTAGGTTCGGAATGCTTTTGGCTTTTCTCTAGTACCAAATGAACATAGTCTAGTGCCCACAGCTCGTTTCTACTCAAGCCATGCCTAATGGATCCAGACTTGTGCATGAACCAGCCATCTTCATCTCCTGCTCCCCAGCATCCCCGAGGGCCCTTCTCACCTCCATTCGTTTCATTCCCCCTCCTTGGCACCCACAAGGGACAATCACTGTGGGGCATGGCATTTGGCATGTCTCCTCTGGCTCCTAGGAAGAGAAAACACCATGTTCTTGTCTGGCAGCTCCTGGGTGCAGACACATGACGTCTGTTGCCCTGGCACCTGTCAAGTACTGGCCACTCAGCAAATGTTTGTTGGAGAATCAAGGACAAATGAGCAGCACCTGGCACAGGAAGAGAGTGGCCTCCATGTAAAAACACACCAACTCCATTTGTTTTATAGATGGCTCTTCTCCAAACATCAGCAAACTCTATCCTGATTCTTTGGTTCACAGAGGGTGTCCCTGTAGGATAGGCTGGGTGCGAGGCTGTGCCATGTAATGGAGGCTGTCAGGGATTCCACAGTAGCAGGATGCATTCACCCACCTCTGGCAGATCCAGCCCCCCCCCCACCGCCCCCCAAGGCCTCACTGCAGCCAGTGTCAATGCCAGCCCTGCAGAGACCCTGTTTGCTGCTATATATCAGACCCAGGTCCCCCCGTCTTGGGACATGGTGCTCCTGCTCTAACTACCTCTTATGGGCCCTGGTTTGGGTTCCCACTCTGGTGGGTCAGCCATAGCCTCTCCACCTGACTTTGGCACCTGTGTTTACCTTGACTCACCTCTCTCACAGCTCAGTGCCAGATAAAACTCCCTCCTCCCTCTTCAGTCCCCCAAAGGCCAACCCCACCAAGGCCCTCACCCTGAAATGAGCCAGGGATGAAGAACAAGGAAACAGAGTCCCAACATGCATCAGAGCTCAGGGAGGGGGTCCAGATCCCTGAAACCTGAGGATCCTTTTCCAAAAACTCACCTGAGTCCTGGAAGGACCATCCTACAAACAGTCCTTTGGGAACTGACAAAAAGCCCATTGATTCCAGGAAGGATCATAGCTGTTCCTGAGACAGGCTACCCCACATGCGGATCCAGTGCTAAAGGCCCTGGATCAGACCATGTTGGGGGTTGGGGAATGGTGTTCTCTGGGTGACATTTTGTGAGTCTACTTCTTCATCAGCATCCCTGCCTTCCCTCTCACCTTCTCTTTCCACCAGTTCTCTATGCCAAGATAGGTGAGAGCTGGAGGGGTGGGGGAGGACATCTCCCCATATACATCTGGGGGCCTCTCTGTGTAGGGCATTGTGTGCAGTGGGCGTGCTCTCAACATCAGGACCAAACACATCACTTACCCTTTCTGGATTCAGCACTGGTGGTGGCTCCTTGACAGGCTACAATGGAAGCGATCAAAATTGAAGTCATCAAAGTTTAGTGCCCATAAAGCTTATCTCTACTGAACTGATGCATTCTGGGGTAAGATCTTTACCACACGAATTGGCTTCCTTCAAGTTTCACACCCCACCCTGGGTGCCACAGCTCCCTTCTTAGTGACTTCTCACCTCCATCCATCTTTTCCTGCTTACTCGGTACTGACAACAAGGGACAGTCACTGTGGTTACAGTCAGGGGTTAAAAGGCATGTGGAGGGCTCTGGCTCAGCCATGCAGATAGAAGGGGACGCTGCTCAATAGCAGTAGGGAGGCAGAAAATGGGTTTTGGGGTGTCAACCTTGCTGTGTACTGTCTGTAGGTCTATAACCAACAGGCTCCCCCTCCCTGGGCCTCAGGCTCCTCAGTTATCAAAGGGGAATCAAGACCTCCATGTGTGGTTAAGTGGGAGACAGACAGACTAAGGTTCCTGGTCCCTGGTAGAGGCTGTACATGGGAGTTTTCATCAGCAGCCCTGACATCATATGAAGACAAGAGAACTCTCCCCACACCCCTCCCACCTCCCCTCTTCTCCCACCCCCCTGCAGCCCTCCCTGCCTTTCAGCCCTCAGGGATGATGGTCCACCTCCCTCCTCCCAATACTTTCTCTCCTCACTTCTTGTCCTTTGCAGAAATCTGACCTGCTGGTTTCTATGTGACTTTGCTTGTCCTTCCTCAGCTCTGCTTTTCCCCTCTTCTTCACCCAGAGCTGTCCTGTGCCCTTGCAAACCAAACTGGCCAGTCCCTCTACCTCCCTCCCTTTCCAGGGACAGTCTCTATTCTTTTCATTATCAGGGCACCTGCCACACCCTCTGAAGGTGACACTGACCTTCAATGCCCCCTAGGTACCTACACCAGACCAGACACTAGACAATGAGCTCTTATGGGCAAAGGTGACGGGCACTTCATTCCTGCTCCTCTGTGCCCAGCATAGGGTCCTGCATATCCTGCTGACTTTGTGTGATTTATGAAGGAGTACAGAAGGTACCAGAGATGGGCAGGGATCCATGCTGTTTTCAAAGGCACAGCTGCCTCTGAGGTTAGCATCCTCCAGGCTAGCATCCTTCTCCCTTTGGGCCATCAGTGCCCATGCAGACTCCTCTTCCCCCAACAGCAGAGACTTCTGGGGCTTTGATCTACCTGAGTCTTTCTGCTGTAGGACAGTGTGGTTCTCAGGGGATCTGGGGTCTCTTCTTTTCGGGGGCCAGACAACCCATAGGCCACCTCTATGTGAAAGTGGAAGCATGAGGCAGGTAGCCCCCTAGGAGCCCCAACTGTCTAAGCCCAGGAGGGGAGGACAGAGTCTGTGCATTGTTTGCTGGCATGAGGGCCCTGGAGCTGATGGGAACCTGCCCAGAGGCAGGATCTGAAGCAGGCCCATGTGTGGCCCCTCAAGGGTTGGTGAGGGCTGGACACGGGCTGTGTAGGCAGGGGTCACTCACCCTCCTGTGGCAGAGCCACCAGATGCACCAGAACATCAGAGACAGTAGGAGCAGGGCTGGGATGAGTGCAAAGAAGTAGAGAGGGTTGACATAGGGGATGACTTGTGCGGGGGGTGCGGGCGGTTTGGGTGGTGTCTCTGGAGGCGGCTGGGCAGCTGGTGAGGGAGCTGGTGGGGTAGTTGTTGCTTCAGCTGGCCCCCTTGCCTACAGAAAAAAAGCACATGGCAGAGTCCTGGCATAGACCAGGCAACTACCGCCTGGATCCCACACCAGTCCACCCTGTCCTCCCTTACCCCTTTCTGCTTGTTTACCCCACTTGAGGAAACAGATGCTAGGAGATCACGGCTGGTACCCAGTGGTGCGCCGGGCCCCAGAGCCCACTGCTGGCCCTGTTCAGAGGCACCCCAGAGACCTGTCAAGGAAACCCAGTCCTCCAAGGAGTGATGGCACAGCCCTTACTGCCTGCCTCGGCTGAGAGCACTGGGGTTTTGTGAGGATCACAGAAAGCTGTGACACACAGATGGGAGAGAGGTGGGAGTGCGAGAGCAGAGGCCAGGCACCCCGAACACCTGTCCATGGCCTCACCCCCCTACTTCCTGTCTCTGCAACCTCAGGCAAAGCTAGCTGGGTATGGCCACAGCTGCTCCACCCTCCAGACCCATGTGCCTGGAACCCAGATTTGGAGGGCGTGGGGGTCCCAGAGGTCCTGGACTCTGTCTCCTACTACACAGTGTCCCAGCCTCTCCCACTCACCCCCGTTGGAATCCAGGATGGAGTCTTGAGGTCCCCACCACAAGGCCCAGCCCAGGGGAGGTGGCAAGGTAGGTCCAGGCTGGGCAGAGCCTCAGCATCATTTCTGGAGTCTGCTTATTTGTCCCTTCCATGGGCCTTCAATGACACTTGGTTCACAGAGAGAGCAAAGGTTTGCAAGGCTTGGAGGATAAAGCATACCCCAGGTGCTCTTTTTAGTAGCCCTCCTATGGCACTGCCCAAGCCTGATGGGAGTTCAGCACACCAATGTAGGGTTAAGGGCTCTGAGCTACCTGCAAGATGATGCTTGAGGTACATCAGGCTATCTGCTGGACCTGCCCGGGGTGTTGTTCCCTTCACTTGCCTCCCCAGGGTGCAGGGTGTCAGGATAGCCTTAGCTGCCAGAGCCTTACCCTGGTACTCGCACAGTCCTTGCTGGTGAGGCTAACATCATTGTTGATGAAGCTGATACCATTGTTCAGGCTAATTTCAAGGGAGAAAGTCCTAAAGCACAGATAGGGTAGACAGTGACAACCAGGTCAGACAGACATTGTTCTTATACTTGGCTCAAACTGTAGCTCATAATCTCCTCACTGTAATGACTTTGAACATCAGGCATTCAGGGATATCAGAGAGCAGACAGCATGGGTAAGGAAAGTTCATCCCAAAGTATTACGAAGTCATCTTCTGCAATGAAGTCTGATGAGGCAGTGAGGATCCCTGAATGAGGTCAGATGTCCTCGTGGCCATGAGCTAAGTGACCAGGCATGGTGGTATGGTGTCAACATTCCAACTCCTCTGTCAGTACAGTATGGGAGTTTAGCTCCAAAAGGCTGCCCAAAGCAAAGATATCATCCATCCCCAGGGCACATCATCTCCTGCATCCTGCTCTCCTCAGCAGAGCCTGGGTTGCAGCAGGTCACTGAGCACCTCAAGGGACTGTCAACCAGGGCAAGTGTGGAGGATGCATGCATTCCTCCTAGAAACATTATTGTATTGCCCCAGTAGAGGTGGATTCTCAAATTCTTTATACCTCATGGTGGCAAAATTAGGCACTTACTCATCTGGATTCTCTATCTTTATTCCTGGGCATATCATACTGGTATCTTTCACAGAGTTGGCTTTTTCATCTGAAACACAATCACATGAAAAGAATGTCAGTGGACTTATCCATCCATTCACCCACCCCTCCCCTCTGCCTGCCCTTGGCAAGTAGAGCTACCGCTATCTGGCAGAAGCAGCTTTTCTTCTCTGCCTTTTCCTGACACCTACCATGCACCAGGCACTGTTCAGGGCTTGGGCTCTGGTGTTTAATGGGAACAAGCAGGCAGAAGTCTTGCTCTCAAGGGCCTGACATTTGTGGGACTGGAGAGGGAGTCAGGCAATAAAGTAACAAACAATGGACAAAATGAATGCCAGAGTGAAAAGTGCCATGATGTCAAAAAACAAGGAAAGGGGTAGGGAAGGGAGGGGAATGGACAGCTGCAAAGACTCAGCACAGCCAAAAATAAATGAAATTATAATAAAACTGAAAGTTTCCCTTTACATTCCTAATTTGTTAATGTTTTTATAGCCTCCTTTTAACTTAGGGACATTTTTTTAAATGAACTGATGAAGAGCATGTCTCATGAAGAAGCATCTGTGTGACTCTCAGTACTTTCTCCAATTCCACTTCAGTTTTTCTTCTGTCATTCAGAAAAATTAGATTTATTAAGCTGTATTTGAGATGTTACAGGCACTTCTCTATGTTGGGATCAGGGGTAGTGTTTTATTCTTTACTTTTTCATATTTTCCTGTTTTCTACTATGTAGCATTGTTATAATTAGCAATTTCCAATGTATTTTTATTGTTTTTATCTTTTTTTTTTTTTTTTGCCACAGGTCAGGGCTCTTCCCTAAAGAATGTTTTATTTCCACGTGGAAAACTTTTTGGAGCTAACTCAACTGTCAGATTAGCTATGAACTTCAGACAGTGTGAGTCCTTCATTGGGACTGAAAATAAAAGCTAACTGCCCAGTATGGCTAGGGGAAAGGATTTGCATCTGAAGGACAGGATGGTTGGGATTACTGTGGGCAATTTGTTTTCCATAGGCTGTTCACAATCCTGAACAGGGAGAGGGGGGTTATGGCAGGCAGTGCACATACTGAAGGCCCAGAAAAGCATGGCTGATTGTAAAGCAGGTTTCAACCAATATTAACTGGTTAACTAAATACTTGCCACATTTAGAGAACTTTTTGAAACATAAAAACTTTACATACTAGTGACAAGCAATGTAAAACTTATAGAAAACTTGGTTAATTTTTTTCTTTTTTATGTTTTAAAGAAACATATTTTCTAAATTTTTGTCTTATGTTTGAATCAGAGGAAAACATAATTAAAAGGAAGCAAATCAATCCTCATCAGTGCATCAGGGCTCCTGGCAGTAAACAGCATGGTGCGGCCACTTCTTATCAGCCTCAACTATAGGCAGTGAGGTGGTCAGTGGAGCAGCCCAGGACTGTAGGATGGGCTGTCCTGTGGGAGAACCTGGTCCTGGTCCATCCCAGAGAGGTGATGTCTAGAAAGGAAAGCAATACAGCCATGGACCACAGAGGAACATCTGAACATGTTTTCTGAAAGATAGGTTGTGTCCCACCTTCCTCAAGAAAGGTCATCTCAGTGAGGTGGAAGGCCCAGAGGAGGCAATTACAAGAACCAGCTTGTGACCTTGGGCATGCTCTTGAATTGACCCTGACTCTGGTTTCAGATCTATACAAAGGAATAATAAAAGGTGTCTTTTGAGAATTAACTGAGATAGTGCATGTAAGGCACTGAGCACATTAGCCAATGTGCTCAATACATAGTTCTTCATGCAAATAATTTACTGATTCCTAATCACTCCCAAGAAACTACAAACCATAGGAAATCTAACTCCCTGAGACCATCTACACATTTTGTGGTGTGAACAGTTAGCAATGGAAGAACACTGCCCACCCCATGCACCCGTGGAAGAAGAGATGGCCCAGAAGTGCTGAGGGAGAGGACTTGCTCTGGGTTTACCAGATGGCCCTGGAATGAAGAGTCATTGAACATAATGCATCAAATCAATGTATCAGTGGGATAACTTGGAGACCTGAGGAGGAAGAAGAAGTCTAACTGTCCTCAGGCACTCTCTGGGGGAGATTAGACCCACTTCAGTGATGAGGCCATATCTCCTGCCCCATCTATGTACTTCCTCAGGCCACTCACCCATCCTGCAGGAACACCTAGTGCCTGAATATTTCCAAATAGTAGCTTATGTACACGATAGGGCTTAGTTGTGCACCTACCATACAAATGGCCTCATTTTATATATATTTTATATAAAATCTCCATACAGATAATAGAGACTGAGAACAGAACACTTATGAGGTCAAGATCACACATGTAAAGTGGGGCTGAGCCAGAATTCCAGGGTCCAGGCCTGTGATTGGCATCTGCTCTCAATACCAGGTGACTCTACCTCCTGGGAGAGCTCAGTGCACCTGGCACAGATTCAGGGCCCTGGGGTGCCATCACTTCCCACCAGAAGAGTTGTGAGATTCAAGTACTTGCCTCTCAAGGGTAGTGAGGGCCAAGGAAAGTGTGGGGGGAGTGTAGCAGTAAGGGCAGACCCAGCATCCCAAGCCCAGCCTCTGCAAGGGTAAGCTCTGAGCCAAGATGGTCTTGATGTGCTGGAGTTGATATCTTCCAGACTGAGATGAAGTGGAAGGTGGCCAGTCTTACCAGCAAGGTCGCTCCTTCCATTGTCCGTGTTGCCCCCATCCTCACAGTGAATCATCATTCACAGTCTGCAGTGAATGGTTAGCAAAGGCTTTGATGGCTTAGCTGGCTAAGGGAATGCAGTGTGGTGTGGGAAGCGTGCCACTTGGTGGCACCGAGGGGGCTACTTACCAATTTGCTTGTCTTTGAATTTAAATCTACAAATAACGTCATCCTCACTCTTTGCATTATTAAAACCTTTTCCAGAAATCATCAATTCATATTCATCTGCAAGGGCGACACCCAAAGGTCTTTTATTAGGAGAGTGCTGACTTCCTTGTGATCTTACAGTTATGATAGGCTACACTATAACTGAATTCCCAGAGATTCCAATAAGCAAATAGTTATGTCTGAACCAATATATGAGCACACACTGAGTCTTACCTGGCATCACAGAGGATAAAACTGAGATGCCTGGGCCTTGAGCACTTGTGGGCCTCTCACCGCTGCCTTTGATTCTTCAAGCTCATTGAAGACACCCTGTTTGCTACCCTCCATGGGGCAAACCCAGCCATAGGTTTCTGACTTTGAAGTCCCAAGGTCTTCCCTAAGAGGTGCAGGAGGTGTTCCTTACTAGGCCTTCCCTTACATTAATGACCCGGAAACAAGATAATGCAGCTGAAGACATTCCTGACCCTTGTTTGAGCTGAGCATGCAAGACTAAGTGCTTATGGGCCTTTTTCACACTCATGGGTCTGTTCCTTCTCACTGTGATTCCCTATGCCAATGGCAGGCTGGATACCCCAGGAACAGGGCCAGGACCTGGGTAAAGCAGGGCCAAGAAAGTCGGTGAGGGCCCTGCACAGGAGAATCCCCCATGGAGGGTGAAATCCTGCCTCAGCTGTGGTTCTGGAGCTAACACTAACAATGACTGCTCTTCCCCTCCCACTTCCTGCCGCTTCGTTGTGCCTCACACAGTGCCCCCAGGGATTCACCAAGCATTTCCTTCTGTTAGGGTGGGAAGCTTTGATTTGCTAAGGTGTAGTTCTGGGTCATAGCCCTAGCCAGGCTGCTAGGTCCCCAGTGGCGCGTCCTGGCAACTGAAATACTAATGGATCCAGAGAAGGCAGCCAGTGGGCCTGGCTCCTGGGGATAAATGCAGGTCTTCGAGCTACAAGCCCAAGGTCAGTAGTCTCCACCCCTGTTCTCCTAGTTAAGATCATTAATTGCCCAAGATCAATTAGCTTGAGGAATATTCCTCAGAAATGTCAGCACAGCTTTGGACCTGACAGTCCTGATTCCCCCTCCTTCAAGTCTTCCTGTAGTCCCTATTAGATCAAGGTGAAGTTTGTAAATTCTCTTTTGAGAAAATTTGATTCTTGGGCTGTGGGCTGAAGCTGTCCTGCTGACATGTTTTTGTAGGCTTTCAAGTATTTTCAAGAAAATGGGAGTCCATGTTTAAAATCTGAACATTTTCTCTACTAATCCAGATTCCTAGTATTCTTGGAAAATGGGAACACTTGGCATGAGTGGGTTTGTATTTCTGCACGTCAACCACTGACTGGGCCAGAGGCCACTGCCCTCTCAGAAAGGGAAGCTCTCCAGTGGCCAAGTACTTGCCCCTAACACTCTTGACCATCATCCTTGGCTTGGCCTTGGTCCACACCTCTTTCTCTTGGTACTTGCCTGGTCTAGGAGGGTACCTGATGCATTGACCTGTCCTTGGAAGAGCTTGAGCAACATGGAAACATGGAGAGAACACTGAAGCTTTGATAAAGCACAGGGAAGGTGAACTGATTGCCTTGTGCTAAGAAATCAGTGACTTTCTGGCTCATTCAGGGCGACCTTGAGGTCCCTTACTGACATCCCCTCCCACGCCCAGTAGCCAACAAATCAATGCTGCTTCTGAACCCAAATCTGTCAGGTTGCTCCCTCACTGTTAACACTTCCTAAGAGCCCTGCCCACCATGACATAGGAATCTGTATTTGTCCAGGAAGAAGCAGCTGGTACAGTGTCCTGCAAACATGCCTTTACCAGCACAACTTAGTCCAGCCTGAGCAAGGTGGCTGGGCCTTAATCTCATGGAAGTACATTTCATAATTCATATTCCAGGATTATTTATTGCAAAGAATGGTTTCCTTGCAAAGCAGAACCATAAACTAATAAAACATATTTTAAGTAAAGATATAGGCAGAGAAGAGAGACTTCAGCTATTGAACATGGGGAAATCAGGCTCTAGATGAGGCAAAAAAAAAAAAGCCAGTAGAAGCTTTTCTGCCATAAACAAAAGGCCAAAGGGAATCAGAAATGAGCAAATAAGTGCCATGCCAAAGCTTACAACTCCTATGTTCATCCAAATGTTGTTTCCTACTAATGAGCACCTACTACACACCAATCTTTACACTTTCTCTCTTAAATCTCCCAACAGCCCCATGAACTTAGGTATGAGCTAGGCAAGATTTACTACTCAATTTTTCATAGAGGGAAACTGTGACTTAGGAAGGGCAGGTCACTTCCTCCTGCCCAAGGCAGGTATAGGGATCTGACCTCAAGTGCCCAATTCAGGACACATTTACATCACCTCTGCTCCTGTCTTAATTCCAAACATCCGTCACTCTGCTCTCTGGGGACATGCCCTTTCTGACCTGAGTCTTCAGCTCACAGGGCTCTGAGTTGAAATGAGAAAGCCCCAGTAGAGGACCTGGTGGTCCCAGCCTCATGGTGAAGATTGGGCCCAGCCTCCTCCATGTGGGTGACTGGAGGCAGGGCAGCAGCGGAAGTCAGGGCCGAATGACAGCCCATTGCGCAGACCACACTGGCTTCCTTAGGAGCAGTGCATGCTGCCCTCTGCCTTGGTGCCTTCCTTCCTCCTGGGGTCGCCTGCTGCCTCCAGCTCCGCTCAGGTGCTACTTCACCTCTGCAGTGGAGCCCTCTCTCCCAGGCAGTGCTGCTGTCAAAGGGGGGCTGCTGAACTCTGACAAGTCTCCAAAGTGGAAGGCAGGATGGTGGTTTCAATATTTCAGCAAGAGAGACTTCCAGGTAAAGGACTTTTGCTTTGCCCAGAAAACTGTCTCTCTTGCTTTCCAAATTCCTCTCCTCATATCCCAATTCCTCCAACAGTTATCAATCACAGGAAGAAAATAAAGTCACAGGAAGGCTTACAGGGCTGTATTTGCTGCACATCCCACACAGGTCCACTGCCTACAAGCCCTCAGGCCCTGGAAGGGAGATTGAGTCTTTCTGGAACAGAGAACTTTCTCTTTGAAAGAAAAGTTGTACATCAAGTCATCTTGGAGCTCTAGAGAGAGGAGCTGATGAGGCAGGCTTGTCTCTGAGAAGGCTGGTGGAGCTGAGCATGAAAAGGACATCTAAGCTGCTTGGGACTAACAAGGGCGCGTAAGGTGGAAGTGACTGGCCCTGGGTAGAGGAGGCGGGGAAACACCACATGCAGTGTGGCATGGCCACTTTGAGAGAAACTGGATGCTGCCAACCATGAGCTGGGCTTTCCCTTAAGGCAGCAACTGTACTTTGGTCTTGATTGCAGGGAATTCCTTTCCCAAGCACACAGAGAGGTAAGTGTCAGGATGGTCTTACAGTATGACTTCTAACATCAACAATCTGAATACTGTCTCCCCAAGACCAGCGAAATAAATTGGTCCATCCATGCAATGGCATATTATGTAGAAGGTTGGAGAATACTATGTACACTGCATGATCCTATTGATGTAAAATATCCCTGTAAAGTATATTTAGATAGGAATTTACATATCAAAGTTGAACTCTGTGGTTGTTAATTGGGGAGACCATGGGATGGGACAGCCTTTACCCATGCTGGTTGCAGGGGAATCCCACACTGTTCTGCACAATGTGCCCTGTCTTCACCCCTGCCCGACACAGCCTGCCCTACTCACCCTCACAAAGGGTCTCCAGCCACGAGGCAGAGCTGGACACCAGACCTCAGAGGGAAGCCCTGCTCTGCGCTGTGTCCTACTGTGACCTCCACTGGGCCCCACCTGCTGGGCTTCTTGCAGACACTCACTCTGGTCTGGTCACATACAAGAAAATCCAGGTGCCACCTCCAGCCATAAATAAAGCCCGAACAAACCTTCCTGCCTGGGTCTATTTGGGCTTTATTTATGGGTGAAGCCTGAATAAACCCAGCAACACACAGGAGGGATGAATCCCCAAACCATAGTGCCCAGTGCCCCAGGCCAAACCTCTCACTCATCCTTTGTGAGTCACCGGAGAGAAGTTCTAAACAGCCTGTGGAGGAAGAAATCAGACAGCAGCTGCCTCTAGGGGATGGGGTCAGGGATTGCCTGGGAAGAGAGCTGAGGCAACATTCTGGGGACAACTCTGATGTTCTGAGCCTTCAAGTGCACATTTTCTAGAACTCATCAAATGATACACTTAAGTCTGCTGCATTTGAAAAGAAAAAACCAAAACAAAACTCAATGAAAAGTGTTCTGGAGGTAAAGATATGCAGAATAATGGGTTTGTGGGTGTGGTAGTCTGATCAGTATAAGTTATTTTGAAATGCATCAAGAAATAAGATGGATTGATGGAGAGAGAGAGATAAGAAAGAGAGAGGAGTTAGATAAATATGTGACCAGGGATATATGGTTAGATATTAATTGCAAATCTAGTGGAGACAGGAATGTTCATTATATGTTCATTTCCATTTTTGCTATATGTTTGAAATCTTCTGTAATAAACGGTTGGAATAAAAACAATGAAGTGGATGATAAAAAAAAATAATGCTGTGGACACAGCCAAGCAGAAGTTACGGTTCTTACTGAGTGATGAGTGACTATGAGAGACCAAGGGCTGTGAGAAGCCTTGGGGGCCCAGCTGACCCGGAAAGACTGCAGATTGAGGTGCTCTGAGAGTGAAGTCTCAAGGGCTGGGTGGTCTGGATACTGTAAAGCTGGCCAAAGTTTTGCAGGAAACCCAATACCCCCACCCCCAGCCTCTGCAGCAGATGGGCAGACTTAAGAGTAGAGGCTGGACATTGGAAGGCCCAGTTGTCTGGCTTGGGGGCCTCAGCTTCCAGAAGGTTACAGAAGTAGCCTCCTCTGCCCTTCGGGTCCTGTGTAGAGGAGGGGCTGGAGCAAAGGCCTGGAGGCAGGGAGGCCAGCAGAAGCCTCTGCCTCTTCCTAGAGGTAGCCCAAGGTGCTGAAGCAGCTGCGTGCCTCATGCTCACACCCTCCTGGCTTTCCCTCACTCGGCTCACTGACTTATTCAGAATGACAGCTGCTGCTTTATTTGGGGTCCAGGTTCCTGCCTTGAGCTTTCTATCTCAGTGACAATCATGCTGTGTGGCAGCTTTTGACAAGATGACAGCGATTATAAAGGTCAGAGCAGCACCGCTAGGCCTCACTGGCAGAGGGTGTGCAGCAGGCACCTGTCACCCCAGCTAGGCCACCACGGGGCAGGAATGACAACAGGCATCCTCGCCTGAGGTCTGCAGGCCTGTGTGTGTCCTGGGGACATGATCAGAGAATGGAAGCTCTCAAGTTGCTTGCAAGCTGGGATGTGCAAGAAAAGACCCTGCACATGTGTGGGGTCTCTCTCCATGTCCACACCTTGCACAGGTCACAGGGTCAGAGACAGGAGGAGTCAGAGAGCTTCCACCTACAGGGTTCAGCTAGAGATGCTTTTTATCCTGGGGTGTTCTTTAACCACTTTCCTCCCCAACCTGGTCTCAGTGTGAGGGTGGAGACAGAGTCAGGGGTCAGTGATGGAAGTCTTAGCACCAGCTCCTGCAGGTAAGGGCCACCAGCTTCTAGAGCCTATGCCAATCACCGTGAACTCCACTGTTTCTATGTCCCACTGCAGATCTGAGAGAGGGTATTGTTATTTTTCCTTCTTGGAGATGAAATTGGAGTTGGTAGATATTCAGCAGTTTGCCTCGGTTTCATGTCCTTGAACATCAGGGGTCAGATATGAACGCTGCTCTGTCTGAACCCACAGCCTATTGCACTGTAGTCTTGCAATTCAGAGCACCACAGCCAGGACCAGTTTCCTGGATATGCATCCAGCTGCATCCAACTAGATGCTGTCATTGGGAGCATGTGCTTATCCACCCATCTCAGCTCTACAAATCCCAGTGATGTGGATGCTTGAGCTGGCACACACAGATCTCAGTTCAGAGAGAAAGCTTCTATCAGCAATGCGCTACACAGGATCCTCCCCAATCTGATGCAGGGACCGTCCCAGGGGAGGGAGGGCATCCTCATCAGGTTCCAGATCTCAGGGAGGCCGTCCCCACTGAACCATAGGGTGTAATGATAGCTGTGAACATCTGTTGGATGCCTTTGTCAGGATCTGTTACTAGTATGACATTGGCCATGAACTATGTCCAATTCTTTTCTTCATCCACTGAAATAATCACATTTTTCTTCATTTTTTCTGATGAGGAAAATCACATTGATATTTTATATATTGAATCAGGTTGGCATTTCAGGGGTGAACTCTAATTAGTCTTGATGCATTGTCCTTTTTTATGTTGTCGGCTTCTGTTATTGTTTGGTTGAGGGTTTTTAAAATAAAGTTTTTCTTATTTCTTAATTAAATTTCAGGTTTTGAGCTAAAAAAAATATGTACGCTTGTAATCAGTTAGCGATATTTTTGTGTCAGGTCATTTTGCGGCATACATTAAACATACAGAGCTGTTTGCCAATTATATCCTAATAAAGCTAGAAAGTGAAAGTAAAAGTCACTTAGTCATGTCCGACTCTTTGTGACCCCATGGACTATAGAGTCCATGGAATTCTCTAGGCCAGAATACTGGAGGTGGTAGCCGTTCCCTTCTACAGGAGATCTTCCCAACCCAGGGATTGAACCCAGGTACCCTGCATTACAGGTGGATTCTTTACTAGCTGAGCCACCAAGGAATCCCAATAGCTGGAAGAAGTAGTTGTACAAACACACAGACACACATAACCCCCCACATATACACCTCACATACACATTCTCTTATAGGCCCCGTGTAGTCATATGCCCCCAAATTTCTGTGCAATCACTCCACACACTCAGACACCACACTCACGCATACAACTCACACTACACATGCCAACTGTATTTACTGAAACCATGTGCTCACAGCACACCCACAGTGCACACTGGACATACTAACAACTCACACAAACACACACCATTGTATTTACAAAAGCAACTCCAGCTCTTACCTCCTACACAGATATCAGAAGGCTCCACAGAAGTAATTTCAATACAGGACTTACTTTCGAGCTAAAATAGGGAGATAAGGGACAGGAGCAGGGGATGTGAATGGCAGGAACTTGTTGAGAACCCACCTCTTCCCGCTTCTCAAGTCCAGCCCTCACTCACTGGATCAACGATGTTTTTAAGAGCTTTGAATCCATGGTCCACTGCAAACACGTGATATGGACTGTCTGCAATTTCCATTAACTACAGTGGAGAGGAGATGGTTGGCACACAGTCAGAGGTTGAAAACACAATAGAGCCTATCCCAGGAAATGGACTCTTGCCTGCTGCCATGTTGGATTCCAAGGGCCACTCTCTGGCATCTATCAGCAGCCCACCCTCAGGAAGTGGAAAGCTCCTCCACCCGCCCCTCTGGTGTGTAAGTTTCCACAACACTTGCTCTTCATATGCCATGACTGCCTGTTGTGCAAACACTTGGGCTGGGGTAGAGGGACACCGCTGGGTGATGCTGGGACCGCTGTCTCTGAAAGCTTTCCCCAGCTGGGCTCAAGAGTGGCATGTGGTTCCCCATTCAGAATTACCTGATTTTCCTTAAAGTTTTTTACCCCCACGCAGTATACTGTTGCTCCCATTTTCCGAGCCTTGTCAGCCTACGAGAAAAAGAGCGTTGAGTATAATTCATCAAACAAGTGGAACCCAAAGCTGGTAACGATGGTCTAGACTCACTTCTTTTATAGTTTCTTTTAGTGGCAGTTCCTCCAGAGTTCCATCAGTCAGACAGATAATCATGGAATGAACCTTGCTTTCTGCAGAAAAAATAGGGAGCTGCCTTGTGAGCAAGGCACCTGGGGTGACCTGCCTCAGGCTGCCAGACCCACTGTGCTGCTCCCACACCTTCTCCTCCTGGGAGGGGCCACCCTGACACCAGAACCTGCCACCCAGAGCACCTCAAAAGAAAAGGGGCCTTAGCCCAGGACCCACTTGACAGATGAGGAGCCTGAGACTGGCTCAGATCTCTTCCTGGTGGACCCTCACTAGGGGCAGGTGGCACAGCCTTTATCCTAAATGGCAACTGCAGCTACATCCTGGCAAGGACAAGCCTCTGAGGTGAGCACAGGGAGGAACAGCCAGACTGACTGTCAGATGCTTGGGCAGCGGGCTCTGCCCAGCTCCCTGCCTTTTCCCAGCAGTCTATGCATCTTTCCTGATGAGGGCTGCAACCCTACCGTCTACATGCAGATGGTTCTGGGCCGAGCACAGCCTTTCTCACTGTTGGAAACATGGTCACAGGATGAGAGTCAACCAGAGGGGAGAGGCTGAAGGGAAAGGAGGCACAGCCAGAACTGTGGTGGACAGAGCGTGGGCAGGTAGGGGACCTCAAGGTCTCTGCTCCCTAAACTGAGCTCTGCTCATTGTCCCTGGAATTTTTTTTCTTTTTCATGCAGTTCAACTGTAGGTCAAGCACTTGATATCTAGTAAGAACCAGGAATGTAATAGATGATCCCATATGGTTCTCAGGAACATCCCAGGGGGAGCTTTTCATCCTCACTCTGGGGAGAAGGAACCTGCAGCACGGAGCAGGCAAGGAGCTCGCCCCAAGAGTCAGCACTAGGAGCTGGCCGAGGAGGGTCTGCAACAGCCCTTGCTGAGGCCGGGCCTGGCTCTGTCCCAGCTGAACACAGTGACATCAACAGGCAACTTACCTCCTGAGTGAGCTTGTTCAATTTGCTCAATTGCCTGCAACAAATTGAAGGAAAGTGTGGGAGGTGAGAAGTGAGAAGTGAGAAGACCCAATAATTCTTTAAGAATGTGACAAAGCAGAATAAATTCTCAGGGCTGTAGGGTCTGTACCTTTTTAAATCCTTCCTGCATGTATGTGTCTCCTGTAGGCACTATATTCTGAAGTCTGATAAGACCATCATGAACTTCATTTCTGAAAAAAGTCAGTAAAAGGGGTTGAGGAGGAATGAACGTTGACAGTTACAAAATAGACCAGCTGTGCTGGTGCCATTCTGCTCTGTGGAGACCTGCCTGGACCAGAGAACACAAGTGGCCCTGTCGTGACCCTTCTGTCCATGTCTTCACACTGATAGGACTGACCCTAATGCTTCTTTGTCTACCACCCAGTAAGCGTGGAGGATGCTGCTCTTCAGTCCTATAAATAGGACCTGGCTTTCAATGTGCTCATCCCTGTCTCAGCAGGCAGACCTCAGGGGACTCAGCAAGTGGTGAGTCCGTGGTGAGAGGGGAGCACCCAAGGATGTGCACCTGTGGAGCCGGCACCCCCAACATGACTGGCGGTGCTGCTGGCGCCTAAGGGGTCCCTGGTGAGGGCACGTTATCCTTCAACAAGCAAGGCTGAGTTTGGAGAAGTCACTCTGCTGATAAGTCTGCCCTGCCCTCTCATCCTCTCCCACAGGCCCCCTGTAGTAGACCTTGGTTCTTCCAAACCACTTCCCTCACTGGATCGGTGCTAAAGGAGGTGGTCAAGCTGCTCCATTAGAGTCTAGGGCTCCTGGGCTTCATGTGCTCTGGAAGAAATAGATGGTAAATGGGGAAGAGGCCCGAGGAGTGTCCATGTGGGCTGAAGAGCAGTGACCCCAGGCTGCCACGGGGATCTCTGTCGCTGTTACAGCAGATAGTGGGGAATGGGACTGGGACATGCCAGGGTGTGGGGCTTAGGTTCAAGCTTATCCGGTGTGATGGTTGAGCCATCACAGCAAGTCTTAGAGAATGTGGTGCCTGAAGGCTGGTTCTTGCCTCAGGCAGAAGGGATTCTGCCATGAAATGAGAACTGAGAATCCCTGATCCTGCCCTACCTGACCCAGCATGGGAACTGAGGAGGCCTGTGACCAGGGCCAGTGGAGGCCAAACAAGGCCCTATCCACCCATGCAAAAAAAGAAAAAAAAAACACAAAACCCTACCCTCTTCCTGTCACTTTTGGGAAGATTTGTTTTGTTGACAGCATCCCAAATGTGCTGGAACCCTCAGCCCTCCCCAGCTTCCAGCCCAGGACTGGGCTTATCCAGACTTCACTCTGGCCTTTTTCTTGGCTGCCCTGCCACCCCATCCTTATTCCCAGCTCCACACATGGAGAGAATACTAGCCTACTCTCTTTCTGCCACCAGCCTGACAGCTCCCCACTCACTTGCTTTCTTCCACCTCATGCTCACTCAGAGTCTCTCTCTGCAAAATGCAGACCACAGGGACACACAAAACCATGCCTCCCTCAGCGCACTGAACAGAAAACCCAGTCCCTGTTTCTTCTGGGATCCAGGCCCAGGGGGTGCTGTCTCCATTTACTGGCACCAACACATTCTCTGGATTTCAGTCATTTGCATCATGAGCATCTTAAGCTCCTGGATACTCATGAGCTCCCTCTCTTCCACCTCCAGGCCTTGGGCACACTTAGGATGCTGGTGTGACATGCTTTCTTCCTACACCCAGCCCAGCCTGGTGTTTGGAACCACACTCATGGGCTCCCTTGTCTCAGATCCACCAAGGGACCAAGCTCCTATCCAGTGAACTCCATTCCTTCAACATGCCCATCCCTGTCTCCTGATTCTGACTCTGCCTCTCTTCCTCCCCCATGGTCCAGAGCAAAGACTGCCACACAAACCAGGTGCCCAACACAGGCCAGTGTTCACAAAGGGCCCACGCATCTGCTTCACCAGATCCCAGGAGTCCTCACAGTGAGCCAGTTCTAAGAAAAGTGAAGAAGGCTGAGCGGACAGGACAGGTGGAGAGCAGGGTTTGGGGAAGTGGAGATGGTCTAGCAGCACAGGCCAGTGCCAGCACAGTCAGGGCTTGGTAGGAACCAGGGAGCTGGGACTGGGGTCAGAGTGAGCACTCAGAGGAGCCCAGGCTGGCCCAGTCTGCACCCAGTGGAAACCCTCAGCTCCTAGGAGTCTCCCTGGACCTCATTCACCAGGCCTGCCTTGGGAGATTAAAGCAGCACTTACCTGTCTGAAGTAAGCTTCATGATGGTGTGACCCTCTGTGGAGAAGGTGATGAAGGACATCCGCAGGTTAGGGCTGGGGAGGAAGCACGTGCTCATGAGAAGCTCTACATGACCCAGACTCAAAATGAAGCCAGTGTGCAGCCAGGAAGAAGGTGCATGCCAATTTCTCTTTTCCCCACACCAGCGCTTCTGCTTTTGGGTTCATTTCCCAAAAATGGAAGTTTCTCTAACTTTAATGAAGGATTGTAGGTATCCTAGTGAAGGAAGCCTGTGGAGACATGCTGCCTTCTTGGAAGAATGTACCAGGATGGCATCCTGATCCAACCTTATACCCCTCACCCCCTCTAAAGTGTTTTTCTCTCTCTTAAACACACACACACACATACACATGCACACTGCACACATCAAATACCTATGCATTCTTTCACGAGGGCCTCCTAACTGGTTTCTCTTCTATAAAATTCTTTGAACCTTTACTCCTCTCTTCCCTCTTTTACATCTTTCTCTGCTTTATTCCCACTCATCTCAGAGAAATCATTCTCCTTTTTAGCAGCTATTCATATACATCTCTCCATTTCCTTTCCCTGGACTCTGTCTTTTGGTCCATTGACACTTAGCATCATTTAGGTAAATTGCTACAGTAGGTTCTTAGATAAGCTCCCACTACTCCTGGGTCTTGTTTCAACACATTTTACTCACAATATCAGACTTTCCTTTTTGGCACATAACCTTGATCATGTCAGACCCCTGCCCAAGAATCATCTGTAGATCTCTATTTTTTACAGCAGGAAATCCAAGTCCCTTGGCCTGACATTATGTGCCCTGAAGGCTTTGGTCCAAATCCATCCTGTGCAGCCTCATCTCCCAACCTTCTTCTGCATTAACCCTATTCTCCAGCTGAACAGACCACTCACTGCACAAGAAGTTTCCTTAATAGTTTCTGTTACTCTCTCTTCCCCATCCTTCAAGATCTAGTTCAAGTTCCACATCCTCTAGGAAACCACCCTTGACTTTTTCCCTAAGAATTCTTGTTTTCTCTTTAATTTGCCTTTTAAGACTTTCGCCTTTTTCTTTTGGCTTTTGACACCATTTAACCTGGTGTTCAGTTATCACATTACAGGTTTGCCTGTTTCCTCATCTATGAGGAACTTCAGGGTAGACTGTGTCTCCTACAATTATGACCTGCCTTCCAAGTAGGAGGTAAGAAAACTGCTGAGACCCAATGGAATCTACATGACCTGTTCTTTTCTGCTTCAGAACATTCCCCTGGGCTCTGTGCTCTTGACTCTAGGGGCTCCCTTTCCCACTGAGTCTAAACAGCTGTGTACTCTGCCTGGCAGGGGAAAATACCCTGCAATTTGGAGAAGCCATACTTTTCAAACTTCTTGACCAAATCCTCCACAAAGGAATAAATGTTCATCCAGTTGTTGTTCACACTTCCTGACCTGAAAATGAAGAAGACTTGAGTTAAAGGAATGAGGTGCATCCATTATGTAGGCAGAATTTCTGCCTCCTCAGTTTCCTTTCCAGTAGACCCTTTAGCAACTCCTTCCTCCCACTCCATGTGGCTGAAGGCTGCCACACACCCTCAGCAATCTCAGTGGGTCATTCTGGTGGTGAATTCACAAGTTTTAAGTGTGGGAAGGGTGACCAATCAGACCTGTGTGCTTGGGAGTCAGGAACTTTTTAAGGGATGAGGAACTTCTGCTAACAAACCAGGATGGCTGTGCAGCTATCACATTGGAAGTGATGTAGGATGCATTGTTTGGAAAAGCCTCCAGTGATTTTGATATGACTCTTATGGTCCCTCAGTTTCCCTTGAGCATAAACCATTCCCAGGTGTCTGCTCCTCTCTTGTCCCTTGAAAGTGTGTGTTTGGGTGCATGTCAGGGCTCTTTGGCACAATATTCCAAGAGAAGTCTCTTAGTTGGTCCTGTCTACCATTCCTTCTGCATCCTCTAGACTGCAACTAAATCTCTCAGCAAATAGTGATGAAACTAAGAATAGATTCTTTAAACATTATCAAGATTATCATTCATTGAGATGTGTGTACCAGGCACTTCATGTTACATGAGTTCCAATTCCAGAACAACCCCATGATATCAGCATTATTTTCATTTTTCAGATAAGAAAGCTGAGGCTCTCACAAGTCATGGAATTTTCCACAATTTCCATAGCTGGTATGGAACTGAACCCATTTCTAGCCTTAAAACCCATGCTCTCCACATTGCAGTGAGCAGATGCATGTGACATGGCTATGTCCAATAATTGTTGTTGTTGTTTGGTCTCTAAGACATGTCTGACTTATAACCTCATGGACTGTAGCCCACCAGGGCCCTCTGTCTGTGGAATTTCCCAGGCAAGAATACTGGAGTGAGTTGCCATTTCCTTCTCAAGGGCATCTTCCCGGGGTCAAACCCAGCTCTTCTGCATTGGTGGGTGGATTCCTTACCACTGAGCCCCAAGAAAGCCCATATCCAAAAATTACTGAGTAGCAAACACCAGACTCTGACAACTGGCCCACAAAATAGGCTTTCTGTCAGAAGCGTCCATACTAAATTGCAAGACAAATCCTTTCTTAACACTTGAAACTAACATAATATTGTTTAAGTCAACTATACTTCAATTAGAAAGTAAAACTTTTGTACTTCATGTACTCAAATCACAAAAAGAGAACACATTAAAAGACTTATACACCACGTCCAAATGAGATTTATCCTTGGAATGTGAGCATGGTTCAACGTATGCAAATTAAAAAATGGGATACACAACATCAACAGATGAAAGCTTACAATCACAAGATCAACTCAATAGATTCAGGAAAAGCATTTGACATATTACAACAATATTTCATGATAAAAAAACCTCATACAGATTTGAGTATAGAAGGAACATATCACAAAATAATTAAGGCCGTACACAATAAACCCACAGTTAATATTATACTCAGGGGTAGAAAGTTGAAAGCTCTAAGATCAGGCCTGAGCCAAGGATTCCCACTTTTATCACTCTTCTGTTAAAGCTAATTGGAACAAAGAAACAAAAGGCATTCAAATTGGAAAGGAAGAAGCATGCTTGTCATTATTTGCAAATTATTTGATTTTTTTATATAAAGAATTCCAAATACTCAACCAAAGACCTGTTGAATCTAAACAATGAATTCGGTGAATTTTCAAGATATAAAAATCAACATACAGAAATCAGTTGCAGTTCCAGTAATGAAACGTTGAAAGACAAATAAAGGAAACTATTCTATTGGGAATAACATAAAAAATAAGAAAACACCTAGGAATAAATTTAACTAAAGAAGTGAGAATCTGTTCAATAAAAACTATGTCACAAATTGAAAAGACACCCCATGTTCCTGCATTGGAAAAAAAAATATTGTAAAAATTTCCATAGTACCAAAAGCCATATAGCTTCAATGCTATCCCTGTCAAAATTCCAATGCATTCATAGCAATAGAAAAAAATAGTCCTAGAATCTGTGTGAAGCCACAAAAAAACTCCAAATAACCAAAACATTCCTGAGAAAGAACAAATCTGGAGGCAACATACTTCCTGACTTCAAACTCTCCTTCCTGATTTCAAAGCTATAGTGATTAAAACCATATAGTAATAGCATAAAAATAGACACACAGACAAATGAAACAGAATAGAGAACCCAGAATCAATGCCACATATAGTTAACAAATATTTGAACAAGGGAGCTAAGAGCACCCATGGGGAAAATATAATATCTTCAACAAATGGTATTGAAAAAATAAAGCACATGCAGGAAAATGGAAATGAACCTGTATGTTACACGACTCACCAAAACTAACTTCAAGTCATAAGACTTGATACCATAAAACTCCTAGAAGGAAATATAGAGAGAAACTTTGAGATTAATCTTGCCAATAACTTTTGGGGGTATAACAACAAAATCACAAACAACAAAAGCAAAAATAAACATCAAGCATAAAACTCCTGCAAAGCAAAAGTGACAACAACAAAAAAATAAAAAGGCAACCAATAGACTGGGACTAAATATTTACAATCACATATTGGATAAAGGCTTAATACCTAAAATATGTAAAGGGCATATATAACTCAAATAAAAATACCCAAACAGTCTGATTAAAAAGTGGGTAGAGAAACAGATACTTTTTTCAAAGGAGACATCCAAATGGACAGCAAGTACATGAAAAGATGCTCCGTGTCACTAATTATCAAAGGAATGCAAATCAAAAACCACAATGAGATACATCTCTCACCCGTTAGAATGGCTATCATCAAGAAGACAAGAGATAACAAGCATTGGTGACAATGCACAGCAAAGGGAAACTGTTACAGTGTTGATGGGAATATAAATTGCTTTAGCCACTATGGAAAACAATATGGAGGTTCCAGAGAAAATTTAAAATAGAATCACCACACCCAGCAATCCCACTGTTGGGTGGGGAAGTGAATGGGGGATGAAAACAGAATATTGAAGGGACATACACAATTCCATGTTTATTGCAGCATTATTCACAATAGCGAAGATAACAGAAACAACCTAAGTGCCCATGAAGAGATGAGTAGATTAAAGAACAAGCTGTACATATATACAATGGAATATAATTCAGCCATAAGAAAGAAAGCTATCCTGCCATTTGTGTCAATAGTGATGGATCTTTTGCTAAGTAAGATAAGTCAGACAGAGAAAGACAAATATTGTATGTTATCACTTACATGTGGAATCTAAAATAGCCAAACTCAACTAAACAGGGTAAAGTGGTGGTTACCAGGGTCTTGGGGGAGTAAGCAGTGATGTTTAAGAGCTAATGCACAGTTTAGTGAACATACAAAAATATTTTATTATAGTCATTAAATTTTCTAAGTGACTAGATCTTAATTATTCCCACCACAAAAAAGAAGTAATAATCATGTGATTTGATAAAGGTTCTATCTAAATATACTTGAGATATGTCAACTATATTTGAAGGAAAATAAGGATTTTTAAAAAGGAAGAAATAAAGAAAATCAGAAAAAGTATATGTATATATTGTATATGAAAATATTGATTTGTAGCCATTAATGCTCATGTGGCCATAAGGAAAATATCTCTAATAGGTACTGAACATATTTTCACACAAAGGAAGTAAAAAGGGAACCAAAACCTGTTACTTTAAAAAAAACACAAAAGAAGGCAGAAATGAAGAAAATTAGGGAGAAAGAAAGCTAAAAGACATACAGAAAACAAATAGCAAAAGTCCTTCCTTATCAGTAATTACTTTAAATATGCATGGATTCATGGTCAATCAATATAATTTTATCTACAAAAAAAAATAAATATGCATGGATTAAACTCTCCAATCAAAGCATACAAATTGCCATAGTGGATAAAAAAAGATGCAACCATATGACGACTACAAGAGACTCACTTTTGATGTTAAGACACCAGGAGGTTAAAAAATGAAAGGATGATAAGAGATACTTCAAGCAAAGATAAATCCAAAGAGAGCTGGGATGACTATTAGACTTTACATAAATAATTATTATGAAAGACAAGAAAGATGTTATATAATTAAGGGAGTGTTACTTCACTGAGAAGACAAAAAATTACAAACAGATATGCACCAAATGTCAGATAAGCAAAATTTAAGAAGCAAACAGAAGTAAGGGAGATACAAACAGGTCTACAATAATAGTCAGAGACTTCAATACCTCACTTTCAGTAATAGAACAATCAAACAAACTATAAGAAAATAGAGAAATAAGGGAATAATGGATGTGAACGTCATCACAAGCCAATTGTACCTAACAGATATGTATAGAACACTCTTCTCCTAAACAGTAGAATACAGATTTTTCTCCAGGATAGATTATAAGACATTTCTTTAAAATTCTTTTTAAAAATATTCATTTATTTATTTAATTTTTAGCTGTGCTAGGTCTTTCCTGCTGTGTGAGGGCTTTCTCTAATTGCAGCAAGTTAAGTCAATAGCATAAAGTAATCTGGAAATTCGCAAATATGTGGAAATTGTTTAAACGATGCCCTTTTAATCAGCGAATGGGTCACAAGAGAAATTAGAAAATAGGAGACAAATGAAAAAGGAACCAGACATACCAAAACATACAGTGAAAGTAGAGAGGGAAATCTGTAGTTGTAAAACAGGTTCATTAAAAATGAAGAAAAATCTCAAATCTATAAACTAACTTTATAGCTTATGGAACTAGAAAAAGAAATGAAAACTAACCCAAACTAGCAGAAGGGAGGAAATAAAAAAGGCTATAACAGAGATAGATAAGACATAGAATAGAAAAATAAATACCAATGAAATAAAAAAATTGGTATATTGAAAAGACCAGCAAAATCTACATACCTTTATATCCACTGACCTAAAGAGGGGTGACTAAAATTACTGAAATAAGAAAATGAAGTGGGGGCACTACTACTGATTTTATACAAATAAAAAAGA